CCCCACCATACAAGGCCACATTGAAAACAGAAGGGAGATTCAGTGGAAATACATTCATACAGCCCCCCATCCATACAGAAACCAAAGGGCTTACTGCCATTAGCTTTCCAGCTGGAGATGCCCAGAAGCTCAGAACTGAAACAAGAAGCAGTTCAGAAACAAGAACCAGGCCAGGCAATACACTAGTCCAGGAAAAGGCCTGGAGAAGGAGGCCTAGCCTAGGGCAGGCAGCAGCCACCAGATCTCACCAGCAGCAGACCACCAGCCTGCCCCACAGACACCCACTCCAACAGTAAAATAACAACCACAACAGGGATGTACTAACAGGAATGACAGGATTGCTCAGTGGAAACAACTGGAGAGGCTTGAAGACCCATCGGAGATAATGAGAGCCAGGAATGTCAATTGACTTGTATGGGCTCCACTGAAATGCATTACAGCACAAAAAGAGTTTGTTTTGGAACTGGGGGTAGGAGATGTGTTCTGGGATTGGCATGACAGGACCCAGAGTGGAATGACAGCCCCTGGAAGCAGAATCTGTGCACTGGGACTGAACCTGCCAGTCCAGTCCCAGCACTCAGTTTCTGTTCCCAGGGGCTGTCATTCCATAACACTCCTGCTACTCCCAGGGGCTGTCATTCCACTCTGGGGGCTGTCATTCCAGATACCTTAATGGAAAATCCATTCCACATTTTCTTTGCAACTCTTCTTGTGCTGTAATGTATTCCAACGGAGCCCATGAATTGCAATGGCGTTCCTGGCTTTCATTCTTGGAGAATGCGGGGTGGGGTGGGGTGGGGTGGGGGATGCTCATGGACTGCCCCAGCCAGCAAAGAGTTGCCACCGGCCTCCTATTGCCCACTGCCCTCCCACTGCTCAGGGCATGCTCCAGCCTGCAGCTGCTTCAGCTAGACTACGACCACCAGAGCAGAGGAGCGGGTGGGCATCACACAGGAAGACTCCTCCAAGGCTGCTGAGCTGCTGAAGGGCAGACAGAAGCCTGTCTGCAGTCTGAGTATGAGAAGGAGGAGAGGAGGCGGAGCTACGGACCGGGGCTGTGCAGGAGGACAGAGAGAAAGGCTGCTCTGCAGCCTCTGCTGCTGCAGTTTCCCAGAGTTGGAGGAAGACGAGGAGGAAGTAGCAGTGTGGCTTGTTTAACTTGTATTTGGTGGGCTCTTTGCTTAGAGCCCACCCACTGTAGGCAGCCAATGGTCTGAGCCTAGGTGGGGACTGGCTCCACCCCTCCTTTTTCTTCTGTATTTGTCATCCCCTCCCTCCCCAGCAAGCCAGCAAAATGCCAGCTACAAGACCATCAATCAGGGGGTGAGGGGGCCAGGGGGAGGGAGGGGGAGTGGAGGATGGAGGAGGGTCCCTGGAAAAACCATGGGGAGGCCCATGGGTCCCTAGATAGCTACGGACCTGAGTCAACTCCTGCCACCTTCCATGAAAGTGATGGTCTCTCTACTTCTGTTCCTGGATTGTTTGCTCATATGGAGACTGTGTTGTTCTGAGCACCTCAGGGAGATCTTGCTGGTACTTGGCCTGCGTAGCTCAGTGCCCCACAGGAGTACTATGTGCAAATGTCTTTGCTGCATTTTGCCCCTTTTTAACCCCCATTGTTGTTCAGTCGCACAGTCGAGTCCAACTCTTCGCGACCCCATGGACCAGCTCCCGCCAGGCCCTCCTGTCTTCCGCTGTCCTCTGAAGTTTGCTCAATTTCATGTTCGTTGCATCTATGACACTGTCTAACCATCTCATCCTTTGCAGTCCTCATCCTTAACCCCCTTAGGGGTCATGTTTCTCAGAAATCTCTTCATGGCAGGGGTTGACGTCATGGTACGAATGCAGTCCCCTTACTTTGGGTTTCTTGGTGCAGGGGTTTGGCCGGGGCATTGAATTTTTTTACAAAAATACTTCTCATTTATGTTACATTTTAGAACTGGGACATAACTACATATTCAAAACACCATCTGAGCAATCAGATAATAAGCAAGTTCATATGAACCAATTTTCTAGAACCCACATTGTGAGAAGTTAAATAACCTAGTAAAGGAAACCAGTTTTCTACAAATTTGGAGTATATTTCCATTGTGGGTGTGAGTGTGCCTAAGCTATGCCAGCAGCACCGCTAAGGTGATCCAGCTGGGGCGGCATCCTTGATGGATTAAAGTACCCTGGTCCTGCTCCTACACCTGACAGACACCGGCCTGTCCGGGCAGCAGGGAAGCTGGGCCAGCAGTAGTGCTGCTGAGCAAACCTCCCTGCTGAGCAAACCTCCCTGGTGGCTGTAATCATCCCACCTCCTCTCCTACACCTGATAGGCAGCTGCCTGCCCAGTGTAGGAGGGGGAGGGGGGAGGAATATTAGAAGCCACTGTGGAGATGGGGGTGACAGGATCACTAAGGCGTTACTGCTGGGGTGGGCTCCCTCATGGCTTTAAGCACCCTGAAACCGCTGCTGCACCTGACAGACAACTGCCTGTTAGGTGTAGGAAGTGGGGTAGCGTGTTGGAAACCATCAGGGAGGCTGGGCCAGCAGCATTATTGCACTTCACAGGTGGTTGTTGGCCATTCCTGATTTCCTCAGCTGTCATTAGCTCTGTGCAGTCTCCTGTAACTATTTTTTTTTACCTCAGAACACTGAGCTCTGCAGCTGATCAATCAGAGAGCGGGGGGTGTAAGGAGGCAGCCACCTGGCTGCCACACGGGAATCAATGGGGGGAGCACATTTTCCCCCTTTTGACCCACTTTCTCAAGACAAAACCCCAGATGTTTCGCTTTGATCTCTTCCCCCATGTTTCAGGCCTAAGTTTTGACATGAAGTCTGAATCAATGTGTATTTGAATAACAGTGACAAGCAGCCACACAATTTGTCACTGAACACACACCTCACTTATTTTGATGCTTGTTTTATACTTCTCAGAGAGAAGGGTCCTGTCATAAAACTGCTTCTCTGCTGAACTAAACCCCACATGGGTCCACCTCCATAGATAATGACCATGCCTGTGATGTCACTAGATCCTCCCTATGATGTCATTGGGTCCCAGTTCTTTTAATGACTTAGCAATGCCTCTGGCCCAGCCCCAGCCCCCCCCGGAAAATTGGAAAGTCTACGCCCTTGCCTAGGAAGGTACCAGGCACTGCCTGGTGACTTGCACTTTTGGAGAAAGAGCCATGGAAGGATGCCTGACTTCTCTCAAGAAGGGTAACCTATGGTAACTATAATTTAGGGTATAATGTGTAGCTAGAACTTATTTTTTAGATTTCTTGTTTTCTCTGCTTATTGCTTTGTTCTTTTACCAATATTCCTGCACTCTAATAAAAATATACTTTTACTATATTTGGTTGTTCTGTACTTCAGAAGCTGTAATCTAAATTCAGTACCTTATGCTTAGAGCATCTACCTATTGGTTAAATATTGTGGAAACTCATTCTGCAAGTGGCGGACCTTGCAGGGTCAACTTTCTGGAAATCCCAGAAAGATCAGGAGTCTGCCTGCTGGCTTCTGATCATAGGGATAGTCTAACAGGGCTGATGGCAGGCTATCATACTGGTGAGAGTATGCACACTCTCCCCATTGTTTTATAATTTTGAGCTCTGCCCCCCCCCCCCAAGGATCCCCTGGACTGGGAATTATTGGTAGTTGGGAAGCCTAATCCTTATGGGTATCTGACTATAGTGAACATGAAAATATCTGCATTTAAGGAAATTAATATACTTTGCTTCGCTTTTTAAAATTACTACTCATGGCTATTGGGGTTCCAGTGGAAGGTTTTTGTTTTCTTTCTCCCAGAAGATGCAGTGGAGGATAATACTTCTGTTTCCTAGAAGTTAGCAGGTACTGATGTTCCGCTTTATAGATACGTATATTATTTGACCAAAAAGGCAGTTATCATTGCAGGGTTCATACCTACAAAGCCTTGCTATGTTAGATCTACTGGGTGGAGCAAAGCTGTGACATTTGCCATGGGTGGCTTTGTTGTATTCCCTGGATTTCATCGTTACTCTCCAGGGCTTAAACAAGACCACTTTGTCTTCCTTCTAAAACAAGTCAAACTGCAAGTTCACCTACACTGGGATAGATACTCCTCCAGACAGTATAATTCCTGCAGGTGATAGTAAACAGATCTGAAGATGAAATCTTTATAGTTATATATAGTTATAGTTGGTCTTGTTCCAGTTATTTAGATTGGAGTGTTAGAATTATCATTCCAAATTCAACAAGCTTTTGAGAGTCATAACATCTCTGGAAAGATAACTTTTAATTTTAATGTGCGTAGAGCTATCTTAAATGTTGGCCATCCCAATTAACAAGAACTGACAGGTGTCACAATAAGCCTCATTCGACCAGACTTTCGAATAAACACAAAACAAAGCCTTTTTGACCATTAAAAATAAGTAAACCTAATTTATCTTGTTCTATGCTTAATGGATGCTTTTATTATGTTTTACAGTTGTTTTTGGACAGTTTGCCTATTTCCAGACAGCACTAAATGACGTGGTGGAATTATTTGATGGAGAACATCCACAGGCCAGGCTTCTGAGTTCACTTTCTGGATCTCACTCAGGTAAATGGTACAGAAACAGATTTTAATCTGCCCCTGTGTAGGAAGCTTGGATTTACTATAGTTTATAACCCTGAATCTGCAGGTTAGAAGTATTCTCCAGTTGATCATAGGACAGCAAGTAACGATTTCTGAGGATTACAAATTTTGATTTACCTCATTTTTTTAATGCTTCTAGCTGTGCTTCTGTACAGTGCCCCACTCCTGTTTACTGCTTCTTTTTGTTCTCTGGATTCCTTACATAGGTGATTCAAGACAATCAGAGATTAGGAAGTGAATGAGAGATAGAGCCATGTAATAATGTCACTGAGGGCAAATGAAGTAAAATTGAGACTGAAAAAGTGCGGTTAATTTTAGCCCTTCAGGACTCATAAGAATTGAAAAGCTTGTAGAAGGAATGATGGAGCAGATATTTTTTCACCTCCTCCTTACCTAAACAGCCTATTGTTTTCTTTGGGAATCTTTCAGAGGATCTGGAGACCCTTACAAATAAGAGTGTACCATGGTATGGAAGGCTGTAGCAGGAAATAGATAAAAATCAGGTCCTCTTCCCTCTTCTGGTGGCTTTTTCATCAATGATAGAAGGAGAAACAGGCAATTTTACCTGCTTTCCCCATGTTACTTCAGTGCTTTGTACTGTGGTACATTTTGTTCGCAAGGCTCTCCTGACCTTCAGAAAGGATCTTTAGGACCAACAGCAGGCTACCTGGAGAAGGCAGGAGAAGACTCTCTTTACTGCCATGAGCTTCTCTGCTGGATTCAGTTTATATTGTGGATCCATCCAATTGGGCTGTGTGGTATTTCTTAGTCCAAATGAACATCAGAGGAAAATGTAAATGAACAGGTGACTTAAAAAAAAGCAGTGCCAACAAAGCATAAAAAGAGCACATTTTAAAATATTGTATAAAATGACAAAAACTGGTGTATAGATCAGCTGTTGTTATTTCTATTTGTATTATTTTGCAGGCACTAACCAATAAACTAGTCAACAATAGCTAATTTTGCAAAAACATTATATTTCAATTCCTACTTGTGTGTGTGCATGCACATGGATGCACCTTATCATTTTTCTGTTTTAATTCTAATCTTTAGGTGAGACTTTGCCTTTAGCCACATCAAATCGGATTCTCTTGCGGTTTAGCACCAAGAGTGGCGCATCTGCCAGAGGCTTCCATTTTGTTTACCAAGGTATTTTCCCTAGATTTTGCTTTGCTGTATTGTCAGAACTACATGGGGGGTAATTGTCACTAAACATAATTATTTCAGGGAGTGGTAGAAAAAGCAGTAGTCTTACAAGGTTTTTGAATTATGGGTCACTGCATTTTGCTGAGATCTTAAGTCATCATCCTTTTTCACTAAGGTCAAATATCTTATTGCATGCAGAAACAGGGCTAGCAGAGTACCTCAAAACACTTCATTTTTCAAGTATCATGCAGCCTATTGTCTCTTTCAAAAGGTTTTGAGTGTGTGTGTGTGGGGTCACATTCCACATCTGTAGCATTCACATGATGTGATTTATTATCTAGAAGGAAATTGCTCTGGTGTGCAAACACTTCATGGGAGAGGCATGACATGTTAAAAATTGTTTAAATGAAGTGTTGGTGAGTGTTTTTCAAAAACATGGCACTTTGTGAGTGTTCAGATGCTTAAAGATGTGGTAACTACTTACCTATTTGGGTCCCCATTTGGAAGAAAGGTGGAGTATAAATGAAGTAAAAAATAAAGAGAAAAGTAACTTTTGATTACATGGAAAATAGACTTTGTTCACTGGCAAAAAAAATCCAAGTTCAACATCTTGCAAGCCCTTTCAGTCAAATTGCTGTTTAGTTGATAAGTCAGACGAACCTTTACCTTTACCTTTATAATATACACATATGGGAAATAGATATAGATGCTCACCAGGTATGTGTGTGTGTACCAGCTCTTCATAGAGGTTATGACGATAATAGCCCATTCTAAGAGGGGTTTTTTTTCAGGGGGGGGAGTTATAGCTCTGGTGTTCTGAAATTTGCTGCAAACTAAACACTGCTCTGCTCTCACTTTGCAAGTCTTCAAGACGTGTTGTTCAGGAAAGCATTTAGCTAGATTACCTGTTGTTGGCTGTCAGACGTCCGCTGGAGTTTGTCATTTAGATTTAGACTGGATTTTTTTCAAATTTATTGAAATATGTTTTATATTTATATTAACAAATATAAATACATACATAAATGAAATTAACATTAATGATGTGTTGTTGGTTTGCGATGGTATGGACTGTGTTACTTTAAATCAAGATGATTGGTTGTGGGGGAAATGTGGCAGGGCCCTGAATCGGGCCATGCAGGTACAGCAGTGGCATAAGAGCTTGAAATACGTCTTGTTTTTAGTTGTGAAAAGGATCGACTGATAACAAAGACGTATATTATAAGAAGGGAGAGGGAAGACAGCATGGTATAGCTCAATCCCATCAGATTTTGGAAGCCAAGCAGGGTTCGTATTTGGAAGGGAGACCTCCAAGTAAGACTCTGCAGAGGAAGTGGCAAACCACCTCTCCTTCTCACTTACCTTGAAAACCCCTTGCTGGGGTCACCATAAGTCAGCTGGGACTTGATGGCACTTTATACACAGTTTACAAACAAGAGATATCTTTGTGTCATTATTCTGTCACAGTGTCATCAAGGATTATATGCTGAAGTGAATCACATTTTTCAGGATAGGTTCAAACATGACTATATATTTACATATGACATGACAGAATTACAGTTTTATGCCTAAAAGGATGACATCATTAGTTCTTTTGCGTGAACTACTGTTTAGAAAGATGAGTCAATTTGCATTTAAGAATTACTGCTTCTGCATTAAATAGTGAACAACACATGGCAGAATCTTTCTAAACTAAAACAAAATTCTGATTGTTCTTTGATTTTATTTGAAAATATTTATAATGCTCTTCTATGTACAAATGGAAGTATCTTAATTTTTATTTATTCTCCCATAGTTCTATTTTATAGCCGCTCTAGTTGTCAATGAAATTTGGAGAACCAGTGACTTGAAACTATTCATAGACATATAGTTCCATTAATTGGTTTGAGGTGCAGCAAATATGTTCAGTGTATGTTTTATTGTTTGTTAGTTTGGTGAAGGGCTGTTAGGCAATAAGATTATTTTTTAGGTGCTGGAAAGATTGATTTTGAGAAATAGGAAATGCTGTTCTCAGCATCACAAAATGAATCAAGGAAGTTAAGCCTTTTTTATTCATCTCAGGAGAACCTCGGAGCTATTCAAGTTTCCATTTTGGGAAGATGAATGCAGTCAGCTCTCTAGTTGTTAAAAGATTTAGCTGGGGCAATGTGGTTTGTGGCATTTAATTAGATTTAATAAATATGCTACAATGATTTAGGGATTTTCAATCTCCTTGTGAAATATAGGAAGAGATTTCCCAAGACTGCCTGCCTGCTAATGTTAAAATGCCTTTGAGAGTACCATCCACATTCTGAATGAACACTCTAATCTGGCCTGCAAAGTCAATCATTTTATTTATCACCCGCTATTCCAGATTGACCTTATTCCATGTTCACTTTTCCACTAGGCTGATTTCTATTTTGTTTCACAGCACTAAAAGATGAGGAATAATTACTATAGAAATGCAATTTCTTTCTGATACCATCTGAGAAGTCTAGTTTGTCAACGTTATAGTTTAGAATTAGACCAAGGATTAGGAAGGGAAAGGAGCACTATAGCTAGCATGATTGTATATTCTGATCACAACTAGTACAAGATTAGATTTGTAGCTTTGGATTTTGATGTAATGGGTTTTTTTTAATGCCATTCACTCAACTATATATTTCTTCTTGTCTCATATAAGCCGCCTTCCTTTTCCCCCCGATGATCCCATTTTTCTGTAGTTCATGCTTCACAGGAAGCACAATGATTAGCAGTAGCTGTGTTGTGAAGAATTTGCCATCACACCCTGAAACATCCAAATCTAATATAGTTTGCTCTTTTTATAACCCAGTGTACTTTCCATGATTTTAGGGCCTCCTCACAAATGCAGGTTGATATCTTCCATTGAAAGGATCTGTTCTACAAAACCTTTGAGTGTGAAGCTAAACAGTATTCAGTCAGTTTGGTTTGACTTTCAGTCATGCTGCCAGGATTCCTGGGAAGGAGTCTCCCAAGGGCTATGGTCACCCAGGTGATGGCACAGAGCTGGGAAGTCATGTGATTCACTTTCATGTGATATTTGGGATTGGGTCTGGTGGTATAATGGGGGACCAGAGGGACTCTTTGGGGATCCATTATGGCTCTTGTCATGCTGCCAGAAGTTGAGGTTGTTGTATATGTACTAATCATTTTGCAGGTATAGCCTTGATTGGCTTCTGTCCCTTAAGTACAGCTGCATGTTTCCAGTGGCTTGGTTGGATGCACTGCATCGATCAGCATTCAGACCACAGTGATGGGAATGGGAGCACTGTAAAGTCATAGCGCTGTTGAGAGAAAGAAATGTGGGCAGAAGGGTATGAGGGTATTTTCCCTCCTCTTATCTAATTGTGTAATACACTGGACATCCAGTACACCTCACTATCTTCTCTTATCCACATGGTATAGTTTTGAGTCTTGTTTACTCATAATTAAACTGACAGACAAGCTTTCTGTATAACCAGAAATACACATTGCAGAGTTGGGGGATAGTCACTAAAACTGTATTGTAATAAGCAGCCCAAATACTTAATCTCCCATAGTTCTGCTTCTGAGAGCTATGTACTTACATCCATTTAGGGCTTTCTGATTTGTTTTTATTCTTTGATTATTTTAATTATATGTCTGATACCAAGATGCTTAGATGCTTTAAATATGTCATTGTTAACATTGATGGTGGTATCATGTGTTCATCATTGTGGCTTCTTTGAAGTCCCATATGAGGGACTGTGCAATTGCAGGCCAGCCATGGGAAGAGCTTACAAGCTTCAAAAGAACTTTCCAGAGCCTAAGAGTGATCCCTCTCCACTACATGTTGAGAGTAGCCTTTCCCACCCAAAGGGTGGCCCTCATTTCTTTCCTTGCCACCAAAAGGAAAGCATGAGCTTTTTCAATCTGCATTCTTTCAGAGCCTTTATCTTTGCTTCAGGTGTCCAGTTGGGGTAGGATGGTATTATTTAAAAAATGTGAAGAGTGCAGAGCCAAAATGGCTCAGAATGATGAACACAAGTCTTGTCTCCTATGCTTCAGTGAAGGGCACAATACAGTCTCAAGCCCTGCCTGCCACCATCTGACACCAAGAGCCCAAGAAGGGAGGGCAGCCAGGCTCAAGGAAGCCTTGTGGGGAAAGGTTCCGGGTGCTCCAGATTCCCACATGGAAAAATAGGTGCTTCCTGACAAGCAACTGAGAGCCCCATCCGTGGCCTTGGTGCCAATACCCTCCACTTCAGTATCGACAGAGACAACCTTGATGCAGTCAGCATCAGAGCCACCATCTAAAAAATCAAAGAAAGCAACATTCTGAGAAGGCATTCCGGGCTGAGACCCTCTGCCCTCCCCTAGGATACGAGGACCAAGATCGACAACCTTCCATTTGAAGGTTGGGAGCTCTTCAGCAACCATATAGAAGACACCTTGGATCTCATATGCAAAAAAAAACCCCCAAACAGATAATGGCCAAGTCTCTGGGAATCAACCAAGGCCCTTCTCAGCGTTATAAACAAAGGTACTTTTCCAGACACTCTCAGCAGTTTCAATAGTCAAGGCCTTACCATTATTCAGAGTACAAGTACCAGGCCCCCCAGGTGTCCCAGCAGCCCTACATATCTGCCTATTCCCAGCGGCCACAATGTAGGAAGCAAACCAAACAAAGGTGAAAATATTCCTTCCAGTCCCCCAGGGAGCATCACCCTAGAGGTTCAGCATCATCCTGACTAGTGGAGAATATTTTCTTTTTGGACCAGTTGTCCAGGTTTCTTAATGTTTGATTTAAAAATATTGATAATTCTTGGGTGTTTGTTAAGAATGGTGACCAGAAAAAAGCCCACAGGGAAAAACCCCACAGTCATAAATGCTCACAGGAAAAATGCCCACATGGAAAAATGCCCACATGGAAAGAAGCCCACACAGAAAAAAGTCCACACGAAAAGAAGCCCACATGGAAAAATATCATGAAAAGTGCCATCGATACTTATAATTGTGGATAATCATTGTGGATTAGTGCTTTTGGGTGTAAAGGCTTGGAAGGGAAAATACAGGAAATAAAAGTGACCATTTTGTTATCAATGAACTTTATTAAGAAGGAAAAACTATAACAACAGAACTTAAAAACTCTATAGAAATATTTTAAACAAAATTAAATACGTAAAATTTATTAATTTACCATTTGTCAACCTTTGTAGTGTTGGTATGAAGTAATTTCTAAAGTAAAGGCAGAAAGATGTTAAGTTAAATTATATATAGACTATCTAATATATACAGCTTTTGAACAACTATATGGCTTAAAATTCTTCAAATAATTAATATTATAATATAATAATATTATTTACTTATTTACCACTCTGTATTTGTTAAAATACAAGTAAAGGGAAATAGAGCTTGGAAATCAACTTATTTTCATGTTATCTTATGATTTTAATTTTAATAACAAAATAAATAAATAATATTAATTATTTGAAGAATTTTAAACCATATAGTTCAAAAGCTGTGTATACTAGACAGTCTATATATAATTTAATTTAGCATCTTTCTGTCTTCACTTTAGAAATTACTTCATACCAGCATTACAAAAGGTTGGCCAATGGTAAATTAATAAATGTATAGTGTTTAATTTTATTTAAAATATTTCTATTTAGAGTTTAATTTCTGATGTTATTGTTTTTCCTTCTTAATAAAGTTTGTTGATAACAAAATGGTCACTTTTATTTCCTGTATTTTCCTTTCTAAGCCTTTACACTCAAGATCATTAACGTCCTCTTCATACAAGCCACTTTTGTATAGTACTGAAGTAATTTACTAATAACATAGCAAAATTATTATTTAATTATACTTGATAAAAATCACAGCACAAATTGTTGCCTGTGAATATGACATGTTTTTATCCTAAAATAACAATATAAAATGTAGGTAATGCCTGTTCATTCTCATAAATGGAGATGAATGGTTATCCACAATTATACATATTTATGGCACTTTACATGGTATTTTTGCATGTGAGCTTCTTTCCATGAGGGCTTTTTTTTGTGTGTGGGCTTTTTTATATATGAGCTTTTTTCCAAGTGGGCTTTTCTCCATGTGGCAATTTTTCCATGTGGGCTGTTTTCCTGTGAGCATTTATGACTATGGGTTTTTTTTCTGTGGGTTTTTTCCCCCTGAGGTTGTTTTTTTCCCCCAGTCACCATACCTAGCCTGTGCAACTCAGGAGCCATCTGTGTTGGTTTGCCTCCTAATGGCTCTGGGAGAAGAATATCATTTTTCCAGCATAGGTCATTAATTTGCAGGTCATTAATGAACTGTAGGTCATTAATGAACTGGTTTGAGCTTAAAATTGTATGTGACCATCAGTGGTGTTCTGTTGTTGTTACATTTAGAGCTATCTTGTAGCAGGTTATCCCTTGGTATCATTCTGGCTTTGTCAGTCTGTTTCCTTATTACATCAGGAGGGTATTGTAATTCCAAAAATGTTTGCTGTAGATCCTTCAAGTGTGGCTGTAGCATAGAGCTTGGCTGTAGACAATGCATTGTTTGGTGTGTTTACTATGGTGACTGGAGGCATGTAGATTTGTTTGACTATTGGTAGGTTTCTGGTATAAGGTAGTATTTATGCTTCCATCATATATTTAGGTAAGGGGGCTACCTATAGCCCATCATATATTTAGGTAAGGGGGCTACCTGTAGCCAACATTTTCTTGCCCACAGACAGCCCCCTAACTTTGAACAACTTCTCACTCACAATAATGTACTTCCTAACATGGGCACACACTCTGGGACCAGGGCCTATAACAAACCAAGATGCCAGGTCCATCCCCTTATTTACTCTAACAATACAGTCACTGGACCTAACAGCACCTGCCATACCATCTCAGGTTCATTCACTTGTTCATCCTCCAATGTTATATATGCCATCAAGTGTCAGCAATGCTTTTCCACTCTCGACATTGGACAAACAGGTCAGTTCCTACGTAAAAGAATAAATGGATGTAAAACTGATGTTAAAAATCACAACACCTCAAAACCAGTGGGGGAACATTTTATCTTCCAGGACATTCCATGGCTGACCTAGGAGTGGCAGTCCTCAAACAGGATGGGTATCCATGTTAGTCTGTCTCTAGCCATAGAAAAGAGCAAGAGTCCAGTAGCACCTTAAAGACTACCATGATTTGTGGCAAGGTATGAGCTTTCATGAGTCACTGCTGGCTTTTTCAAATACAGCTCCATTTGTTCTATATTTTGGAGAGTGGAGTGATTTCAGATGCCAAATAACATTAACAAGCAAATAACAATAGCAGATGAATGACAATAGCAAGTGTGATTGGATTAGGTGTGATATGCAGAGGAGTAGTAATCCAGAGGTGTAACCCAATCATGCCTGCTATTGTCATTCACTTGCTATTGTTATTTCCCTGCTAATGTCGTTCAACGTTTGAAATCACCCCATTCTCCAAAATATAGGACAGATGGACTCACATTCCAGCTGTATCCGAAGAAGTGAACAGTGACTCACAAAAGCTCATACCCTGCCACAAATTTTGTTAGTCTTTAAGGTGCTACTGGACTCTTGCTCTTTTCTAGTCCTTGAATGGAGAACCTTCAAGGGGAGATTACTATGTGAGATTGCTGAACTTGAATTCATTCACAATTTCTGAACAATGGACCCCCTTGGCCTGAATCGGTATATAGGATTCTTATCTCACTACAGTTGCTAATTTCCCACCCCTAAGCATTTCTCCTAATTACATTTGGCATTGCACCTTTCATCCTGACTTTGTTATTTGTAACACTTCTCCCCATGTCCTGACTGGGATATATGGCTTCAGGGATCTCCTTTTCTACTTGTATCTGATGAAGGGAGCTTAGAATCTTGAGCATTTATACCCTGGAAATCCTGCTGGTCTTTAAGGTGCTACTGGACTCACATCTTGCTCTTCTATAGCAGGCCAATATGGCTACCCACTAGAACAGTTAGGGACAATAACAAATTTAAGAGAATTCATTCCATTTTGAATGGGTAAGAACCACTCCCAACTGTAGACCAATGGACAGAGCTAGATAAAAGTAATGTTTGTTGATTAGATTTTATTTTTATCCTACTCTATGATTTGCAGTAGTCCTCAACCAATCTGAAGGGACTGATTTCTCTTTGATTAATTTCTATTTCTAACTGGCCTCTCTTTATAACACTCTCTCATTCACAACTTTCTGTTGCTTATTACTTTAGGCATAAATATATCTCCTATGGACATGCACTCCATGCTAGTGGAATAAATTTTGTTAGTTTTTAAAGTGCCACTGGGCTTCTGCAGCATGCTAACATGGCTACATGCTAACATGGCTACCCCTCTAGTGATATATTAGAGTGGCAATCAAGAATGTTTAACTCCAAGATGGGCCTAATCAAGTCAGTCAGGCTGCATCAGTGCAAAGGGAATGTTGCTTGTGGTCTCAGTCTGTCATATTTGTTTGCATAATTTCCAATTGTCAGACCAGTTATTTGAAATATGGATTGATGGATTATGAAATGACTGCTTTGGAGCAAGTGATTTGAGTTTAGCCCTGATTGGTAGGATGATTTTTAGCCAACTAATTAACTTTAAGTAATGCAAAGGAACACAGAGCAGAGCAGATGCTATTTGAAAGTAAATCCCTGTGGTGTGAGGGTGTCGTTTCTCAAACCACACTTTTTTTTCACCCATTTGTATAGCTGTTCCACGCACAAGTGATACACAGTGCAGCTCTGTCCCAGAGCCCAGATATGGAAGGAGGATTGGCTCTGAATTCTCAGCAGGTTCTGTAGTCCGCTTTGAATGTAGTCCCGGCTATCTTCTGCAAGGCTCAAAAGCTATCCGCTGCCAATCTGTGCCCAATGCTTTAGCCCAGTGGAATGACACAGTACCAAGCTGTGTGGGTAAGGCTTATTATGTTTAGGTTATCTGTTTTTCAGTCAACATTCAAGAGCACCACTCCTCTCATTGAATAGTATTTAACATTTATATTTACTTTCCATTGATTAATACTGGCCATGTCCAATTTAAAAGAGCAATTTGTCATTTCAAAAGTAATTGAGTACCAGCTGGTTGGTAGGCAGTATAGTGTTTCACGTAATGACCTATTAGATTAACAAGGTTGATGTTTTTTTTGCTGAATATTTATCGTCAATGTGACAGCCTCTAAAATCACAAGTATAATACAGAGTCTAACATCAACCTCAGGAAATCCCCCTTACATTAATTAATTGAGTGTTTCCTGAAGCATTTGTTATAGCGGATTTATAACTTATAACACTTTGAAAATTGCTGTTTGAAAAAGTGTTCTGCTATAACATGACCTAAAGTGACAATGTCTGTTTCAGCTAAACCAGCTACAATTTTTTGTGGGATCTTCTGGTGGAATTATGGTTATCTGTTTGGATCCCTTTTGTACCTTTTAAGTATTGTTGCTGTTGTTGTTTTACTTTTCCCTGGACTTATGTATTTTAGTTATTTATAATATTGATAAGGATTGTGTACCTTTAGGAAGGAGAAAATAAGACTTCAAGAATTTGAATTATAATTGTAATAATATTAATTTTATTCATATATACACAGCTGCTTCTATATTGTTATGATTACAAGAAAGTTATATTTCTCAGGGAAGATATAACTAGTTCTGAACTGAGCCACACCAAACATGAAACTCCCTTATGGAAACTAGGAAGAACCAGTCCTCTTAACAGCTTCACGTATCTAATTTGAAGATAAGTAATGAGGAATATGTTTGTTTTCCATGAATAGCAGTGCCACCCCTAAGCAGAGATACACTCTTCTAATTCTGTTGAATTCAGTGCACACAGAAGGATGTAACTCCGCAAGGCTGTGACATAGAGTTGTAGGACTGCTTTTGTAGGCCCCATGGCTCATTCCTTCTCTCTCCTCAACCCTACAGACTTTTTTTCTGTGTTCATCTGCCTACACTACTCGCCCAAATTCCCTGGTCCACTATTAAAAACATTAAAGCTCTTCTGTGGTGTGTGTGTGGGTTTTCCTGCCAGTTTCATAAACTGTCGCCTGGCAGAAAAGTTGAGTAGTTTGGCTGCCACTACTACTGCCAGAAGAAAAATTAGTTTGATTTATATATTGGCATTTGTTTATTTACATGATTTTTTCAAAAGCAAATGCTATCTTTTAGTTATGATTGGAATGATAGAAGTCAGATTCTATTTTTCTTGGTAGTGTTTCTGTTCAATGAGAATGTTTTTGGCTTTGTTGTTACTTCTAATGGATTTTTTTTCCAGTGCCATGCAGTCGGAATTTCACTGAACGAAGAGGAACTATATTATCTCCAGGCTTCCCAGAACCTTATGGTAACAGCTTGAATTGTGTGTGGAAAATCACAGTGACTGAGGGATCAGGTATTCAGGCAAGTCCACATTTGCCAGCTGTGGAATATTAACTACTTCACTATAGATGGCTAATTATTCTCTTTTTTAGCACTTTCTCTCTTAAATTGTAAGAAAATAGCAAACTTGCTTGTGTTTTTGTGATTCTAGTGGATAGATTCATTGGCAAAGCTTCAAGGGATCTTTGGATGAAAGAACACATCTTCTCATTTTGCGGCAATTGACACCCACCTAGCCCAGCCTTTTACAACACTTATTTATTAGCTTTTCAGAACACTTTCCCTGGAGTTCAAAATAGTTCACAAAATATTAAAATCAGTCGTAACAGAAGAACTCTAATGCACATCCTAAAAGTGTAACTAAAGGTTAAGAAAATAGGAAATGGAAGAGAGCAGCCTTAACTGGTGATAGCCAGCATCCAAAAGGATCATTACAGGCGACAAAGATACTTTAGTGGCATAGATAATGTATTTTGATTAATCAGATTCCAATGGGAATTATTAGTGAAAAAGCCATATTAGTCTGTTCTGTGATACAGATTTTTTTCCTCTCTGCATGTGTGTTTTTTAGGAATTCTTTTCATATATCTGATGAAGTAGACTCTGAAAGCTTATGCTACAATAAATCTTGCAATCATTAAGGTCGTAAGATCTCTTTTTTCCATTTAAGAATCAGAACTGATGTTTGTTTAAGGAGAGCATTTCTTTAAGCATTGTTAAGTAACGCAATATTGTCACCTACTTGCAACTAAAGATGGAACAGGGGTGTGCATTCGGTCTATCTGAGCCAGGAAAAAAACCCTGCTATTGTCAAGATATTTTTTCAGCCGGATATAGATAGCTGGTATTTATTTGGCTATCCGAAATGGATATTAAGGATTTTTCAGGACTGCCTGATACCCACAGTTAAAGTGCATTTAAAGGGCTCTCAGTCTTTTTGAACACTTTCAGAGTTCACTTGCATTTTGCAGAAGACATTTAAAGGGAGCATGATCCCTTTAAATGCCTTCTTTTCCCTTCCATTGAAAACAATATAGGATGAAGGCAGGAGAAGCAAGCCCCAGGAGCTCCTGTGCTGCATGGACTACATTGCTCCACACAACTCAGGAGCTTTTGAGGCTCGCTTCTCCGGCAGCCTGGTTTAAACCAGACTGCAGGAGAAGTGAGCACAGGCAGAATCTCCTGTGTTGCTCCATGTGGTGCAGCAGCTCCTAGGGCTTGCTTCTCTAGCAGCCCAGTTCAAACTGGACTGCAGGAGAAGTGAGCCCAACCAGGATGAGCTGCAGGAGAAGCCAAGCGAGCCCAAGATCTGCGTGCAGTGGGGAGAGACCTCCCTGCCGCACGCAGATCCTGGTGCCAACTTCTCCTGCAGCACAGTGAAAACCATGCTGCAGGAGAAGCCAAGCCAGCCCCAGGATCAGGCTGGCTTTTTTTTTTAATCCAGTGTTTTTCTTCTCAGGTCTATTGGACCTGAAAAAATTAAGGACTTCTGAAAAATCCTGGATCCAAATACCATAACAGTATTGGGATCTGGGATTTTTCAGAAATACCCAATTGTTTTTCCCCCCCAATAGACCCAACCCAAAAAATACCAGATAAAAAAGATTGCATATCCCTAGACATAACTATCCAATTCATCTCAGTGTGATCAGGTAACCTAGGACCAAAGGAATTTACTCCAATAGACCCAAACCAAAAAATACCAGATAAAAAAGATTGCACATCCCTAGACATAACTATCCAATGCATCTCAGTGTGATCAGGTAACCCAGGACCAAAGGAATTTGAATACCTGTGATGTGAATGGAGTACTTATAGAGCTTTTTCTCTCACATTTTAAAGTGTCAGAAGAAAAAAGACAGCTAGAAGTTTTATGTTCACCTGGAGCGGGTATAGTTAATTGTTATATAAACATTGTGGTGTGTAAGAAAACAAGAGAAACTAAAACTAGTTTCCTTTAATCCACTGTCTGAGGTGTTTCTCTTTTGCATATAAGGATGGTAAAATAAATATAAATAAGGGATTTAATAGAAAATCTCTCTCAAAATGTCAGTACTTTAAACAGATTTCCTCATCCATGCCATGTTTAACATTTCTAGCCTCACCTGATAACATGAAAAAGTGAAAATTATGCAAGTGTAATTTATGTGTAATTTGATTCACTAGATGATTCCACTCAACTAAATATTGCTTTAAAACTTACATCACAATAAGTTAAATATTCAGTGATTTTCAGGGAAATGCATTATAGGAACACCATTTTTTTTAAAAAAAATACTGCGTAAGAGCTGGGTGTAATTTTTCTTGTCCAAATGTGGCCATGACATGAGAGAGAACCTTTGGTTGAACAATGAAAGAAACTACATGGAAACAGTATAGTTCTTAGATTTTCTTCCAAGTCATGGGTAGCAATGAGAGGTGAGACACAGCTGTACATATCCTGAGTTTGTCTGACTCAGGTTAGGGGAGCTTCCCCACCAAGTTGAGCTGATGGTCAGACAGTGGCTCAGCAGCATTTCCATCTTCCTTCCTTCCCCCTTCCCACTGCAGCTTCAGAGTGCCACATTTTGAGCTTCAGTGGGAGAAGTTTAGAAAGTGCTGTACTGAATAAAGATCTCTCCAAGCCATCCAGATAGCCCATGACAGTGGTAAGAGCCCAACACTGTTCCCTTTCAAAAGTGGAGGTGCTTTTCAACAATATGAAAATGAAAACAACATTAAAAAGTCATTTTTGACTCAGTAACACTGCAGTCAATAATTCAAATTAGTTTTGTCTTCTGACAGTTAGCAGAAGACCAAAAAATCTGGGAGATTTTATTTTATGCATGGGGTTCTGGGGACATTATCCTCCCCCCCCCCCAACATTTTACAATATGCTTGTGCTGCTCCAGCAGAGATTAGAATAGTAAAGTCTAGGGAATTGTTTACTGCATCTTTAAATATAGAGGATTGTGGTTAATGCAGTTTAGTAACTTTAAGGTCAGCTGGTTAGAAGTAGCCTTCTTGATTGGTTCTATACAGCCTCTTTTCCCCTTTGATACATTTGCCTGGGAAAACTGTTTATTGCCCTCCCAGTGTGTATGTAATCCTCTTGGCTAGCAGATGGAGAGATCCAGCACCTTTTTTACCACATGAATCACTCAAAGACTCAGGACTTTAAGGCTCCTAACAGCTCTATGGAAAGGGAATGTGAGTAAACTGAACCTTTGGATTCTTATAAGTTGAATAAAAGTTGATTCTAAACAAGTGATGAAAGCCAGCTCAGGCTGCCGGGAACAGCATAATGCTCTTACAATTCTTTCATTTACAACAACCATAGACCTGATAGATATGAAGGACAGCGACTTGACCAAGATCAGTCAATACTATGTTGCACTCATGCCCATCACATTTTTCACACTCACCATAATGTTCACCACATGGAGAAACATTTGATATAAATAAAGGACATCAGTGAAGTTTTGGCTCAACATGTGTTTTATAACTAATTCATCAACATCAGAATCTACCCCTTGTTCCCTATGTGAAAAAAATATATTGATTACCCTCAGATAGCAAAGCTGTATTCTTTATTTTCATTAAGATTTTCTGTTCTTTATACAAAGTAATCTTGGTGTGCACACATTTAACCAAATTCAGCAATTTCATACTGGTGTGAACTGTCTCTGAGTGCAAAAACTGCCTTATTTCTTTCTGTGGAGAAAACCCATTCCTCAGAATGGGAAGCTTAGGCCCACTTCCATTGGAGAGCTTGCAGAGTACATTACACCTCTGTATGTAGATATAGACTCGAACTGAGGTTTAGACGGATGCTTTTCTGCCATTGAAATAGATCTTTATGGACTCTTTGACTATATCTTCAAAAAGTGTTGGTTTTGCCCAGCGTCTTTTCTCTCTCTCTCTTATTTTTCCCATTATTACTTGAAATTCCTTTCTTCATGCTAATCATATGTTGTGTGCACCTCCGTACTTAACTTAAGCTGCATGTTCTCCAGTGTCACATACTAAACCTGTTCCTAGATTTAATTCTTTTTAGTGGAAGGCTGCATGTTTTAATGTTCTCCCACATTTTAAATGAACCTTTATGTGGATACAAAAATAACATGTAAGGGACAAAGATTCTAACTTAGTCTTCTCCCTGTCATTCTAGTTTTAGATGCGCAAAAAGCTTTGTGTGTGTGTACTAGAAAACATTAAACTGTTTTATCCCCCATCCAGTGTTCCCTCTAAGCTGAGTTAGTGTGAGCTAGCTCACAGTTTTTTAGCTTCTGGCTCGCACATTTTTGACTTAGCTCAGGAAGGATGGCTCCAGAGCAAACTAATTTATGCAGTAGCCAAATCACCTACTCACAACTTTAATGCCAGTAGCTCACAAAATAGAATTTCCCCCCAGTTTTTGCCCATCTACAGTCTGAAGTGGTATAGTACAGGAACAATTGCATCATATATAACAGTGTAATCCTATCAGAGTTACTCCAGCCTGAAGTCATGGATTTCAATAGTTTGGAGAAAGCCTGCATAGGATTGTATTGTAAGTCTACTGATCTTGTAGTTCAGGTCAAATAAATTTATATGTCATTTTTATAAATTAAACATCAAGTTAAGCAGGCTCAAGTTCTTCCCTTCTTTTTGACACTTCAAAACAAATAGTTTTTCCATTCCCAGAAGGTGCCTGCACTTAAGTGACTCTGAAAATTAAAATGTAAACAGTACTGCGAAGCCAGGATATGTATAGTGTATTGCTACATTTGTTGTCAAGGTCATTGTTCTTTTTGTCTTTCCTGTCACTGACTTGGAATTATATATGACTAGGGATGGGCAAAAACTGGGGAAATGGTTGTTCATTGGGGTTTGGGGTTTGTTTGATTCATTAACTTACATTTGATTCATTAACTTACAATGACCTTGACAACAAATGTAGCAATACACTATACATTTTCTATTTCCTGAACCAGTTCATGGTTTGTTGGGTTTGTGAGTTTGTAGAACAACCCCACCTGGAAGTGAGCCCCAAAGGCATTTAAATGCCATCAGAACCCACCACCATGGGCCTGCCCATATAAGGGCCTGCCCATATTAGGGCATATAAGGCCTATAAAGGCCTTCAGAGCTCACTCTCAGAGCTGATGTGGGCCAGCCAGACTGTGGGAGGTGGGCTCCAAAGGCATTTAAGTAAGTAAGCTCTGATGGCATTTAAAATCCTCTGGAGCTCACTCGGGTGGGGCTGTGGGCTGGTGGTGGGCTCGGCATTTAAATGCCTTTGGGGCTCACTTCCGGGTGGCTCGCCAGACCTGGAAGTAAGCTCTGAAGGCATTTAAATGCCTTCAGAACCCAAGAACATGTCTCACACGAACCTCACAGACCTCCATGAAAAACATGGAGGTTCATGGGAGACATATTCTCCCGAACTCTTGGTTTGTGAACCACAAACCAGCCTGGTTAATGCTCTAACCAGGGTTCATTTGGGAGTTTGTGCCCATCCCTAGATATGAGTGTTCTGTTTAATGAACATACAATGGCATTGTTTTCACAGATCCAGGTAATAAGCTTTGGCACTGAACATAACTGGGACTCTCTTGAAATCTATGATGGGGGTGACATGACAGCACCAAGGCTTGGGAGTTTTTCAGGTATGTACACAATTGCCTCTACTGGAGAGAACACAACAGAGTCTAATCAAAGCTTCAGGGTTTTTAGGGCATGTACTTTTTCAGTCAGGTTTATTAATACCTATTAAAAGCTTTGAATTAAGTGCTATATAAATGCTACGTACTATTGTTGTGATTTACCTGACTTCAAACACAGGTTTATAACAAGCAATGCTTTTGGGGGTTTGTCTTGAGGCCAGGTCATGTGGTGAGAATTTGGACTGGGTATATCCATGCAAAGTTTGGCATAAGAACATAAAGTACAGCCTGCTGGATCAGACCAGTGGTCGATCTAGTCCATCATACTGTCACATGGTGGCCAACCAGCTGCCCTGAAGGAAAATAAACAGGATGTAGAGGCAAAGGCCCTCTCTTGATGCTGCCTCCTAGCTCTGGTATGTAGAGGTTTGCTGCCTCTGCATGTGGAGGCTCCCTTCAGTCACCTTGACTAGTAGTTATTGATGGGCCTCTAGTGCTTTCTACAATGGTCGGAGCACTCCACCTATCCTTGGCTCATGCTGACACATGACTGAGGGGTGGGAGTATTCCTTCCCTCAGTCGTTCCACTGCTGTGGAGGTAGGACATGTTACAGCATGTTTTCTAAAGACTTTTTTTTTAGTATTTTTGTGGTTGTGGTATCATTTGGTGAGCTCATTCAATGGCACATTTCAAAAAATGTACCAAATATGGTATCAAGATCACACAATCTGATGAACATTCATTCATCTTTGTGTCCTCTGTGCAGTCCCACGTGGGATTGCTTCAGAGCAGGCCTGCCATGGAGGAGTTTTCTACAAGCTTCTAGAATCTACAGCTGAGTGCTCCCCCTTGGTACAGTGGAGCTTCAAGTTCTGTTCCCACCCAAAAGATTAAGTGATGAGGGGAGGAGGGAGCACTCTTCCCTCAGTCCCTTTTCTGCCACTGTGGAGAGAGGACGTGTTACAGCTTCACAGAGATTTCTTCGATGGAATTGTATGTTGTTGTTTTTCTTACCGGTTTCGGACTATACTAATCCCGATGGCACTTTTTAAGAAATGCCGCAATTACAGCACAAAAATGGAGCAAAACAATGAACGTGACCAGTGCCTCATGTGCTTAGGTGAAGGACACAATACCTTCTCTTGTCAGGCATGTGGCCTCTTTACCCCAAAAGTGCGACAAGAAAGGGCTCTTCGCCTCAAAACAGCTTTATGGGAGCAGTCATTTGGCATTCCCAAAACTGTGGATTCCACTCAGAAAAGGACCAGAACCCCTTCAGTGGTCTTCGTTGCCGTAGCACAATCAAAACCCAATGCCGGAGGTGCTGCACAGACCCCGAGAGCAGCTTCTGAATTGCCTATAAAGAAAGCAAAAAAGAAGTTGATACACTTGACTCTGTTGACTGCTGATAACAAACCAGTGCTGACTTGATATTGAAACCACCTATCCAGGACCTGGTGCAATACCAACAGTCCCTTTCTCCTTGAGGTCGATCTCAGATTTCCTTGACATCTCTACAACATCAGAATGGCTCACCTCACTGTTGATTATTGTCATTGACTCAAACGCAACCTTCAGCATCTCCATGTTGCTCTCCATCAGGATCTCCTCCAACCTGAATATCCCAATCTCTTCTACATTATATCCCTAACAGTTGACATTGTAGCCATTCTTCTGATGAAAGCAGAGTGCATTTTCAAAAGCCTCATACTCCTTCCCTTTCTATGGCCTTGAAACAGTACCAATCCTCAGATGAGGACATAATTGAATCAATCACCCCTGTACAGAAGGCTTCATCTAGTAATCCAACATCATCCTCTGAGGCGAACACCTTTCAGATATCACAATGGGGTCTGTTTCCCCCATGGTTTATGTCCCTATGGAACCAGTGGAATCCTTCCTCCATACCTCAGTGGCAACCATCTTTCTGTTGCACCAGCTCTGTCATTAGATCACGGTCATCCAAGAGCCAGGACACTATAAACTCCTATGCAGATTCTGAGACTCAACCAGAGAAAGAATTAAAGAATGATTCAGAGTGTACTTTCATTCTCTCACATGATGATGTTGGGGGGGACCCTGCACATGTTTCTCCAACTGAAGACCTTAAGTTGTATTCTGAACAATTTGTTAGAATGGTTAAGCCACTAGAGATTGAATACATGTCTCCAGAACCAAGATTTGTAGACCCAATTATGAATATACTGTACTCAAATGACCCTCGGCCAGTAGCCCTTCCAGTGGTGAAAGGTGCTCTAGAAATCACAAGGAACATATGGGCTAAACCAGCCTCCAGTCAAGCCTCCACTAGAAAAGTGGAACACTTAAATAAGATTAGAGAGGAAGAATGTGAATTCCTATTTCAGCATCCCCCAGCCAACTATTTGGTGACGAAAGTCCTCCTGCCCACACAAAGAACAGGAATGCATTCAACTGCCCTTGGTAAGAAGGGTGGTAAATTAGAGATCCTAGAGTGCAAGGTCTACATGTCAGGAGCCTTAGGTGTCCGCAAGGGTAATTTTAAGGCAGTTATAGGTTTTTATCAGATCTATTTATGGGAACAAATGTCTCAATACATAGAGGCCCTCCCGGATGACAAAAAAATCAGGCAAAGCAGAGGTGATCGAATTGGGAAAACAGGAACTTAATGTGTTATGCCATGTGGCAGATGCATGTAGCCAAACTATGGCCTCAGCAATAGTTATGTCATTCATGGTTAAGAGCTTTGGATCTACCTCCATACGCTAGAGCCCATGTAGAAGGTCTTCCCTTTGAAGGAAAGAGCAGACGGATGTAGTGCTTGACAGTATCCGTAAGAGCAGGTTGACAGCCAAGTCCCTGGATATCACTTCCCAGCAAGCTGGAAACTTTAAACCCAGGTACTTCCCCAGACACAATCAACAGTACAAATCTGAGAAGTCGTACAGATTTCAACCCACACAGAATCACCAACCCCACTATCATACCCCCTTCAACTTCCAGAACTAACCTTGATGGCAACAGCCTAGGTAGAGAGGGTGACAGGGGGCACAATCTCCCAGAGACCCCTCATCTAAGGGAAGGGCACCCCAGTGTCTGGGTAGATTCCCACAGTTTTCTGATAGGCTTTCCTTGTTCACACACCATTGGAGTTCAATTACAGAAGACGTTTGGGGTTTGCGTATAATAAAATTTGGATACTTCCTTGAATTTAAATCCACTCCTTATTGTATTGATCTTCGTTTCAAAGGGACTACTTCCAACTTGCTTCTACACCATGAGATTCAGCATCTCCGAAAAAGAGCTGTGTAGTTGCTACCCCCCTCAGAAGAGTATAGGGGTTTTTACTCCAGCTAATTCTTAATAGACAAAAAGGGAGGTTGTGTGACCTTTGACCTGAGGAAACTGGGCTGCCCAGCAGAGCCCCAGCAGAGCCTACAAGGAGAACTCTCCCTGCAGGATCAGCTGCTTTGTGGGCTTTGTTGGGCAGTCCAGTTTAAATTGGGCTGCCTAGCAGAGCCCCAGTGGAGCCTGCTAGGAGAGTTCTCCCCACAGGATCAGCTGCCTTGCCAGCTCTTTTGGGCAATCCAGTTTAAAGGGACCACCCAAAAGCCGCCTCTCAGCTGTTTTTTTGCTGCTTTGCCACTGCTTTTCTCTTCTCTGTATTTTCTGCTCAGGTCTATTGGACCCGAAAAAAATAAATGAATCAGGATTTCTGAAAAATCCTGAATCTAAATACTTTACTGGTATTGGGATGTATTTTTTTTTTTTGGGGGGGGGAATCCTGAATTTCTTTTGGTGCCAGTTTTGGGGGGGGGGGAGATTGCACACCCCTACTGTTGTCTCATTTTTTACCTGGTGAAGAAACCATTGACGTCTGATGATGACATTGAGAAAGTCAGGCCCTCAACTCCAATGGTCCCTGTAAAAAAAAAAACCAAGAAAAATTTGAGGTTGGCTCTGGAATGCCTCCCAGTGCTCCAATGTTCTGGCAGCCTTCTTGATATCCTTGTCCTCCCAACCCAATGTATATCCTCCAATGGGATGCTACAGACCATCAGCAGATGTGGTTCCATCCTATGGGTCTGAGGCCTGCAGCCCTAGACTTTGAGGAAAATATCCCAACTTTTCTTGGAAAATATTCCAACTGAAATCAGTGGAACTTGCTATGGAGAAATAGACAAAGGAGCAGGTTGTATATCTCTCCCCCATCTTGTGTATTATCTTTAAATAGTGTCAATATAAGGACTGTAGTCCTAGGTTATGTGTTTATCAATATATGCTAGTTGCTTATGTGATTGTTGTTATAATACAGAAAATGTTTTGTTTGGGCAACAATTTAAAATTTTCCTTCTTTTAAAGTGACTATGCTGCAAAGATCTTCTTATGGTAAACTAGATCTTTCCTTTGGGGGGGGGGCAGGTACCACAGTGCCAGCGTTATTGAACAGCACTTCAAATCAACTTTATCTGCATTTTCATTCTGATATTAGTGTGGCAGCTGCTGGTTTTCACCTGGAATACAAAAGTAAGTTTTTGTGAGTTTTTTTAAAAAACATAATGTCTATTATTAGAATGTGATACATGTAGTGACTGGTGGACAGGGCTTTTTAAGTTGTGTCCCCTTATTTATGGAATGCCTCCCCAGAAAGATGCATGATCTTTAGGCATCAGGTTTAATGATATTCTGTTTCGCAAGAGTTCTCCTGGATGCTGCCAATTCCTGTTGTAATTTATTCTCCCAAGCACATCCACCAAATGAAGAATCATATTGGGTTTAAGAAGTTTAAATGGCTAATACAACATCCACATTAATTGTTTAATATTTTAAAGAGTGGGATGTATCAGGCAGCCCATTGGGCACCATCATTTGGACTCCAGACTTTGTCATTGATTTATTGCTGGCCTTCTTCATTCTTGCCTGCACATGAACTGTGTCAAAATATGCCAGGTCTCACCCCCTTCATCCAGTGTGTCACACAGATAACTAAGGATCTGGTTGATGCTGCGCAGCACCAAATGCATTCCCTGCCAGCCCACCATATAACAAATGAAGATGTGTTATAGGAATGGGTGTTCATCATATGATGCCTCAAGGTGCTTGCCAATTCACCCTACTTATATTGAACAATCTGCCCTATTCCTGCCATCACTAGTTATGGTCTAATCAGCCCAAGGACTAGGCTTATCCCACCTTCAAGAAGCTCCATAAAGCAGAGGAAAAATGATTCCTTAGCAGGCCAATTATAGGATGCCCAGAATTTTTGCTTGACCCCAAGGGACTGGCTAATCTCAAGAATTGCCTCACAGGAGAGTGGGTGGATTAGAAGCGCACAATAAATGCCTGTGCAGGAGAGTACGGCCAGCCATGATTTGTCTGATTTTCAGAGGGGCTAGTATGATAAACTCTGTCCTCTTCAGTGGGTGCTTTATTTTTATTATATTTGATTCAGTCTTTTTTAAAGATTGTTTTAATGCTGTATGGTTCTTTGTAAGCTATCTTGAGTATTTTTATAAATTGATAAGATAAAAATGTTTTCAAATATATCCAGGATTTTCCTCCCCATTTCTGTAGCTTTGTATGTGTACATTTGAAGAATATAGGCTGAAAGTGATATGAATAGTTTTGGAGTAAAACAGTTACGAAAAAATCAGCTCTAAAATGCTTATAGAGAGATCACAGTGAAGTTTTTCATAAAGATATAATAAATATAGCACCACAACTGGAAACAGAAGACTCCTGACAAAAGTCTTTTATATACAATTATATACAATTTTGCTTTCAGGTTAACAGTTATGCAGACACATTTTAAATAATTGTCTTTTTTCTTTAAGTGCTGCAAGGTGTGAGTGAGATATCAAAAGTGCTAAAGATTACAGCAAGACAGTGTAGGTGAAATACTCTGAACACTCTCAAGCGCTTCTTTTTCTCATTTTCATTATCAATGGGCACTTAATGGAGCAAGCATTTCTGAGTTATGTACATGTAGGTCAGAAAGCTGGCTATTTTATGCAAAAAAGAGATCTTCCTCAAAATACACCTTTTCCCAGTTATGAACCCCCCTCCCCAGGTAGTACAACATTAGACCATTGTATAACTCTTGTCCACTTGGTGGTGAAAAATTCTGGAGAAGCCCGAAAAAAAACTATTCTGTGCTTTCCTTGACTTAAAAGGGGCCTTTGATTCAATTCCCAGGAATCTCCTATGGGTAAAATTGAATAAGATGGGAATAGATAAACAACTACTTTTCCTTATCCGGAAACTATATTCTTCCACCAGCTGCCAAGTAAGATATAGAAACTCAGGTTTATTAACATCTAAGATCCTTACAAATCGAGGAGTCAAACAAGGCTGCATTTTGGCACCCTATTTATTCAATCTATTTTTGAATGATTTGAACTCCTCTTTGAGTGTGATTGATGGTCACTGCCCTAAACTGGGTCTTCAACATTACTGGTCCCTCTATTACTGTATGCGGACGATGCTGTAGTATTATCTTGCACCCAGAAGGGCATTAAGTGTCTTTTAACTGCATTTACATTCTAGTGCGAGAACAATTCCTTATTGGTAAATTTTGAAAAATCTAAAATTTTGGTGTTCTCAAAATCTTGGAAACGCTTTAACTGGTGCATAAATGGTAACAGTATTGAACAGGTGAAACATTTCAAATACCTGGGTGTTCTTTTCCACTATAACAATAGCTGGACAGGCCAAAGGAAACACGTGGTAAATCTGGCCAAATGCAGCCTATCCTAGGTTTTTTTACGTGAAGGGCAACCAATTTGTCCCCGCTGCTGTATGAGTTTTCAATGCCAAGGTTGTGTCCCAAATTCTGTATGGGATCCCCATCTGGATTGACTCCTTTATCCAACATGTTGCACAGATCCAGGCAATGTTTTTGCAGCATATCCTAGGAGTACCAAATTGTGTAAGCTATGCAGCTATGTGCCTGGAGACAGGACAACATCTGCTTGAGACCAGAGCCTGTCTATCAACTTTAAAATTTTGGCTACATCTCCAGAACAAAACCCAATAGCTATATTCACCTGCTATTATCAGAAACATTCACATCCAATTGGACAAACTCAGTTCTGGAAAAAAAACAATCAATCAATTGGCATCCCCCTTGACTCCCTGCTTCTGTCAGGTGAATCCCAATTTTTCAGGTCCTTGAGGCAGAGAACGTTCGATATTGAAAAGCAAACTCTCTGTTCTGGATTCACCCCTTCCCCTCTGAAATTTAACATAACCCCGAGAAATGGGTTTATAGCTGATTATTTTTCACAGCTCACCGCTCCATCACTAAGACGAGCTTTTATGTTAGCACGTTTTGATGCCATACCATCAGAGGTCCTTTACGGTAGATTTACCAATACTCCCTACTTTGCAAGGACCTGCTCATGTAACAGCAGGAACCCAGAATTGATTGCTCACATCCTAGAATTTTATAACAGGATTCGGGATGTTTTAATCAGCCCCTTCCTGCACAGTAAGCATAGTCTACCTGAAGAGAGACTTATAGCTTTCCTTTTATCAGATCTTTGCCCTCACATTACCTTCTCTGTAGCACGATTTCTTTTTATTGCTATGAGGGTAAGAGAATACAAGGTCAACGCCCTGGTGGGTTGACTGTTTTATATTCACATACTTATATTTTTATATGCACCTTAAAATGTGACCCATGTTGTATTTTAACTATGCCAATAAAGGTTGACTGACTGACTGATATTTTTCTCTAGATCATGAAAAAGAAACAGGCTTTGGAGTAATTCTGAAATGGAGATTAGAGTTCTACAAGTGGAGACCTGCAAGAAACTTGCAGGATGGTTATCCTATTCCTCACACT